TGTCAAAACATTCATCTACAAGCACTTATTTGCATTTACAGGATTGCACTAAAATGTTCCAAATTTTCTAAAAGCTTCTAAATTCAGTGTGTCTGATGGATCATGAAGTTTGCAGAATAATAGAAGGCTTTTTCTAATATGTGAAAAAAATCATCTCCCACTTATTTCCTCAAATTCTTGCAATAATAGCTGCTTCAGAATTCATGCAGTTAGTTTACTGAAAGTGGTTATTGGAAAATTAAAAATCGTTCGATAGATCCAGAATACGTCTTTATTTCATGATGAGAGATAGTGCAAGCAAAGATATTTTTTATCAACCGAAATCGGTTGTTCTTGATTAAATTTATGCTTTTAATCAGATTTTAATTGAAGATGAAAAAAATTTTCAATAGTTATTATGTCAGGTAAAAATAAATGATGTAATTTTGATGGTCTCATTAAATTTCTGTTGGATCAAATAGCTTTATTTTAAGTTACCATATAGTACATTAAACTGTATTGTGCCTTATGATATTCTATATTAATTTATTAAAATTACAGTAACATCCATACAAAAGATTACATAAAGCCATTCGAACAATCATAATAAATAATCTCATGACATTAGAACAACAGAAAATTAAAACTTTGATAAAATTTCATACAAATCTTGTCGAAGGTGGACATTTCCAGGATTTTTTAGGTGCACAGAGTGCATAGTTTCGAATTGCAGAGACTGAACCGAGTTTGGTTAACCGTTCAATAACACATTTATTCAAGGAAGCACAATGACATCCTTTGTCTCTAAATAGAATTTAATAGATCGTGACATCTCATTTAAAACGATTTCTTGAAAAGAGAACAAATAAGCAGAAGTTATCTGATTTAGTTCTTTAATTAAAAATTCGGTTAAAAAAAACTACAAAGAAGAAAAAAATCCATGATCGAAAAGTTTTATTTATATAGTAATGCAAATCGTTTATCTTCTAATAGATCGGGCAAGAAGAATGAAATGTATCGTAAATTTTCCGCATGAAAAAATCCGTCTATCAAAGCTTATTTTGGAGGTATAAAATTTTATTGAATTCATGTTTAAATTTCAATATTGCAATAACTAACGTCCATTGCTGATTGTCAGCTAAGCGACACCAATCAATTGGCTCACGCATATCATAGCAATCAGCGTGAGAAGTGCACCGTTTCATTCTAAAATAAATATTTGAAAATTTTCAGTAAGTTAAAATGTTTTAAATAAAATTTCAATAAAATATAAATATTTAAGAGAATAATGCAAAAAAAAAAATAGTGATTACATTCCATCAGTGGATATGAAAGTTGCATTCAAATGTATTTCTGGCATTTGCTCATCAGCATTGGCTGCATTATTTACTTCACCAGCCGTCTTATCATGCTGTAAAAACTTTTGTATGAAATAATCAAAAAGCAGTTAATTTCTGATTTCAAATTTTTCTGTCCATGAAAGGAATAACATATCGTATCAAGAGCTATTAATAAGAAAATACTCTTTTAATTGATAACTTTTTATAAATTGTACAGTTGCAAAAAAAATCAATCAATATTGCTATATTTTAACATAACTAACCAAAATTAATCGTGATTCCACAGTCAGAAAGGATGCGCCAAACACAAACAGAAGTTGAAGCAAAACCTTCATAGTTACCTTCAGGAATTCATATTATTTTTTTCTTTCTTTTGAAGAAAACGTTCATATAATTTGTTTGCTTTTGTTAAGTTTAATTTCCGCTTTAGCGTTTAATTTATCTGTGATACTTTTCATACTAAACCAACAAACTTCTCGTCCTCATTTTTTTGATGATAAGAAATCTGATGAGAAGAAAAACTGTGATTAAATTTTGATGATAAGAAATCTGATGATAAGAAAAATTGTGATATCTGATGAAGAAAAATTGTGATTAAATTATTTCAATTCGATCAATAAAATGAATGGTATCCGTATTTACCAATTAATGCAGCTACTGAAGCAATCCTTGAATTGAGTCACTGAGAAGATTTTTGATCAAATGACAACTTAAATAAAAATATGATGCAATGAAAAATGTTACAATAGCATAAATATTTTATTTCAAGAAATGTAATAAAATATTTATTACATTTCTTGAAATATTCTTTTGTATCCAATCATTTTTATAAGCCGTATAACAGTAAAAAGGTAAATAGATCTATAGGAAAAATTTTCAGAGGCTAACAAATTTTACAATGAAACAAGTTGCTTCTTGATCTTTTCAATGAATCAAGTTGCTTCTTGATCTTTTCAATGAATCAAGTTGCTTCTTGATCTTTTCTTTTCAAAAATTAAAATCCATCATCAAATTCTTCTTCTCAAGGATCATTAACTGAAATTTCGCTAAAAAATTCGAACAATTCATTTATAGTTAGATAAGTTTATTGATTATATATTTGTAGATGACAGTTTCTTGAAATTGATGAAATTTAAAAAAAAAAAATTTTTTTAAGAACATATTTTGCTAACCTTGCTTTTCCTTTTGCCAGCAAATTTTCATGTTAATTTTTTTATTCAAATTATAATTGAAATTAGTAAAACCGACTTGATCTCAAGACTGATTGTTGTATCGAAGTAATGACGCTGAAAATACGACACCGATCAAAAATTTTGAAATTCATATAAATTTGAAAAAAAAGTTTTTCAAAAAATATGAATTTTATTTCAATATCTCTTCCTCATCATTTTATGCAAAGATGGAAATTTGGCAGATTTGATTTTCAGATATTTAACT